CTCAAAACTACACAAGTTACGTTCCGTCAAAATAACAGCGTTATAGATTAATAATTTTTTGAAAATGTCGAGTTTTGTGCCTGAAAACGTGCATTTGCGGCACGCATTACTTTTCTTGTTTAATCAAAAGAAAAAAGCCGCTGAAAGTCATCTTTTGCTGGTAGAGACTTACGGTGAGCATGCTCCAACCATAAGAACATGTGAAACGTGGTTTCGACAATTCAAATGTGGTGATTTCAACGTTCAAGACAAAAAACGTCCTGGTAGGCCGAAAACGTTTGAAGATGCGGAATTGCAGGAGTTATTGGATGAAAACCCAACACAAACTCAAAAACAATTGGCAGAAAAGTTGAATGTGAGCCGAGTAGCAATTTGTGAACGATTACAAGCGATGGGAAAGATCCAAAAGATGGGAAGATGGGTGTCACATGAATTGAATGACAGGTAATTGGAAAATCGAAAAATCGTCAGTGAAATGCTGCTTCAAAGGTATGAAAGGAAGTTATTTCTGCATCGAATAGTAACGGGTGATGAAAAATGGATTTATTTCGAAAATCCCAAGCGAAAAAAATCATGGTTATCACCTAGCGAAGGTGGCCCATCGACTGCAAGGCCAAATCGCTTTGGTCGCAAGACCATGCTCTGTATCTGGTGGGACCAGGTTGGTGTCGTATATTATGAACTGTTGAAACCTGGAGAAACAGTTAATATTGATCGCTACCAACAACAAATGATCAATTTGAACTGTGCATAGATCGAAAAACGTCCACAATACGCTCAAAGACATGACAAGGTGATTTTGCAGCATGACAACGCGCCGTCTCATACAGCAAAACCAGTCAAAGAAGTGTTAAAATCACTTGGATGGGAAGTTTTATCGCACCCGCCGTACTCTCCAGACCTGGCTCCATCCGACTACCACCTCTTCGCATCGATGGGACACGCGCTTGCAGAGCAGTACTTCGCCGATTTCGAAGAAGTTAAAAAATGGCTCGATGAATGGTTTAACTCAAAAGAGAAACAGTTCTTTTGGAATGGCATCCATAAATTGCCTGAGAGATGGGCAAAATGTATAGAATCAAATGGCCAATACTTTGAATAAATATATTTTAACTATCCATTGTAAATAACGTGTTTTCTTTAGCGAAAAAACCGGAAAGGAATCCAGACTCCTTTTTTTTCTTCTCTCAGGTTATGTGTTTTAAGACACGTTCACATGAACTTAAAGTCACTAGAGCTATGATCTAAGTGAGGACATGTTCGCATAACTAGTAACTTTTACTAAATACTACAGGTACTCTTACCTCTATTATTAGCGGGTGAAATATGTCAAAGGAAACTGTTTCTTTCTTTGCTAAATAGCTGTGGTGGAAACTTCGGATTTATGACAATCATTATCTGCGACCGAGTTTGATACATATCCACAAAAGAATATCAAAGTTAGGCACTTGAAATCACAATATTGTATGCACCATTTTAAATTTTGAAATTTCACCCTGAATTCATCACCAGTGACTCAAAAAACTTATAGATATAAATTGTTGAGTAGGAAATTATAACTAACACGTTAGATATAATATTGTGCTTGCTGGGAAGCTTCCATCTAGAATACAAAATTATTTGCCTTTATCAGTTTTGGCACGAAATGTTGATTTCGAATCCACCAGTGAACTGGTTAAGAGAAACATTTTGAAGAAACAAATTTATATAAAACATTTAAGCCTTGGCTCAGATATGCCTAGAAAGAATTATTACCCTAGAAAGGAATTATTTAATTTTACTTTAGAAGGAATTATTTAAAAGTAACAAAATAAATTTATGTATAACTATGGGAAGAGGGAAAGAAAGAGAAGAAATAAAAGTATCAATGTGAAAATCAATTTCGAGTAGTGCTATTTCTTCTCGAAAACTACTTCTACGTTTCATTCACTTCAGTTAACTTTTTATGAAGAACCATTCTGTAAAATTGATAGTATTCTTTTTTCCAGCTACAAACGGCTACATGAATTGTGCCAGACGAGTTTACTCACAAAAAGATTTTAATTCTGACATATTATTGGGGACTTGAATAAGTTCTCGCTGTTTCCCGACAGATGGTGTTATCTTAGCCTTTTTGTATCGGGCAATACTATAGCCAACTTCATCATGAAGCTCCATCATTAGATTCGAAGTGACAGTATATTTTATTCCGCCGAAGCGTAAACAACATATTTTTTCATAGTGTTAAACATGTCGAATTTCGTGCCAAAAAAAGTATTTGCGGGGAATTTTACTGCATTACTTTTTTCAAAAAATATCTGCAGCTGAAGCACATATCCGACAAAGACAGCACGTGAAATCCACGTGGATTCCACATTGATGATCTACGTGGAATCCATATGGATAATCGAGTGGATATCCCCTTATAAACAGTAGTCGAATTCACATGGATTCGATCATCAATGTGACGTGGATTCCACGTAAAAATTTCGCCATATCTGCGTAATATCCACGTAGTATTTACATGTAATCGTTTCATAATATTGCAAAGTTGTATATAAAAAATGTAAACAATATAAGAAAGTACATGGTATTTATTTGGTATCTTTTTTCCCATTAAATATGTTTCCCATTAAATGTTATATATTGTTATAACATAATATATTTATGCATGTTGTATATTGTTATAACATAAGTATAAATTTTTTCAAAAGAAAAAAAACAAGTTATGAAAATACATATATATTAAATAAAACATAGACTATTAATATACAAATATATATATATATATATATATATATATATATTAGGAGCGCAAAAAAGTTCTGAGCCTTTTTTTGCAAAATTCAAAATTTATTTAAAAACAAACAAAACTATATTAATCAACGAAATATTCCCCGTTTGCATCGATGACCTTTTGCCATCTTTCGGGCAGCTTGCGAATTCCCTGATGGTAGAAGCTCACCGGCTTCGAGGCGATAAAGTCATCAATGCATTTTCGTATCTCTTCAAGTGTCACAAAATGTGTATCAGTCAAGAAATGCTGCAGAAACCGGAATAGGTAATAATCGGAAGGCGCCATGTCTGGGCTATACGTCGCATGCGGGAGAAGTTCCCAGCCTAACGCAAAGATATGGTCCTGAGTCACTTTCGCAACATGTGGTCGGGCATTGTCATGAAGCAGTATCACTTTACGACGTCCTTTGCCAGTAAATGGCCTCTTTTCTTCAAACGCATCGCTCAAATTGCTCAATTGTGGCTGATAGCGATCTGCCGTTACTGTTTCACCCGGCTGTAACAACTCGTAATACAATCCACCTTTCCAATCCCACCATATGCAAAGCAAAACCTTCTTGGCGTGGATATTGGTCTTTGGCGTCGATGTCGAAGGTTGACCAGGGTCAACCCATGATTTTTTACGCTTCGGATTACCATAAAGTATTCACTTTTCATCACCTGTAATGATTTGGTGCAGAAAATCTTTTTTCCGGAACCTTGAAAGCAAAGTGAGTGCCGTGTCACGCCGTCGATTTTTGTTGTCTTCGGACAGTGCATGCGGAACCCATCTGCCTTCCTTTTGAACTTTTCCCATTGCACGTGTAAACGTGTGGAAATGGCTTGTCGCGTAACGCCAAGTTGCTCTGCAAGCTCCTTTTCAGTTTGTGCAGAGTTTATATCCAACAATGCTTGCAGTTCGTCCGTTTCAATCTTTTGAGGGCGTCCAGCACGCGGTTCATCTTCAAGACTGAAATCTCCTTGGAGAAATTTTTGATACCACCTTTTACACGTAGCATAACTTACAGCGTTCTCTCCATATGCAACACAGATCATTTCAGTGGCTTCAGCAGCATTTTTCTTCAGATGAAATGCGAAGTGGATGGAAAATCGAATATGCTCTTTTGTTATTGCCATCGAGAACACTGCTGATTTTAAGGTTATGTGCATCAAACGCCAAATCGCACGATGTTTCGAAAGACCAAATGTCACTGCTTTAAAACCGCAAGAGGGCGGGAAAATTAATGCAATTTAAATTGTGGTTTCAGTAGTATGAAATCTAGGGCTCAGAACTTTTTTGCGCTCCTAATATATATATATATAACTTAAAAATATTGAAACAACCAAAAGCTTTAAAGAAAATTTTTTATAAATTATCAATATACTCATATAGAATAAATGTTCAAAATACATCTTAGAGATATCCCATAAATATTGCAATATGTATAGAGTATCCCAGAATGTATTGGGTTGGCAACTAAGTGATTGCGGATTTTAAATGAGAATGAATATTCAAAATTTTTAATTTGCTTTTTCAAATTTTTTTCAACGCATGTATGCGATACATTGAGCTTCTCTGCAATATCACGTGTTGTGCTACGATGATCTGAATCGATAATGGCCTTGATATGGGTCTCATCGACTTCAACTGGACGGCCAGATCGTTGAGCATTTTTCAATGAAAAATCACCAGAACGAAATCTGGCAAACCAATTTTGACACTGCCTTTCTTTCAAGGCTTCATTCCCATATACGGCACATAACTTCTTGTGTGCTTGCGATGCGTTCTTGCCTTTTCGGAAATAATACAATAAAATATGTCTGAAGTATACATCTTGCTCTTCCATTTTTAAATTGGGATAAAAACAAAACTAAAGAACTAATCGATATAATTTTTGTACTAAATGAAAGATAGAAGTCCAAACAATAAGAAAAAAATATAGGTTAGGTACTTTGAACACGTTAACGAAACAAAAGAAAGTGTAAAATCCATCTGTCGACAAAATCCGCAATTACTTAGTCGCCAACCCAATATTTTGGATATTTGTTCTGTATAGATATACAAACATATGAAACTAAAATATATTGAAACAATCAGAAGTCTTAAAGAAAATGTTATAAACTATCAATACCCATATAAAATAAATGTCTAAAATACATCTGAGGGATATTCTACAGATATTACGATATTTACAGTATATCGCTGAAATGTATTTTGGATATTTGTTCTATATAGGTGTACATATGGAACTTAAAAGCATGAAATAACCAAAAGCCTTAAAGAAAATGTTACAAGCAAACTATTAAAGTTTTTTATGCAGTTTCATTTTCTTCTTATTCGTCTTGTTGCCCGCTTTTCCGTAATTGAAGTACTTCATTTTCGAGACGTCTTTTTTGCGTCTTTTAACCAATTCGCAATATGTAAATCAGCAATTTCTCTGTTATATGTGAATTGAAGGCCTCTATCTATCCTTTCTTGTGCATGTTTCTTCACAATAGCTACAGAAAAAACAAGTATTATATACTACAAGTATTATATAACTGAATATATTAATACAAATGTCTCGTGTTGTGCAAATATTAAATTTGTACTGAGTATAGAATTTTGTATATTTATGTAATAGAAAAAAAAAGTAAAATATATTATTATGAAAATAGCGACAATGTGCGACTTATATATATTATATAAATCTTACCAATAACAAGAATGTAAGATGTTGTGCTTTGAAATTTTTTTTTCATATCTTGCTTCTCTGTTTGTTCCCTTCAATTTTCATATCTTGCATTCTCTGTTTGTTCCTTTCAAATTGAAGTTAACTGCGACTTTGTTTGTCATAAGTTTGCGCATTATATAGATTGCAATATATAGAGCCTTTTAAATTTTCCGTGCAATGTTCTATTAACTCGAATCTATAATATATAAAATAATAAAATAGAAAAAGGTCGCAGTAATATATAAGTCTTTTAAGCACAAGGAAAAAGAAAAATATTTTCTTACCATAATCAATTTTTTCTCCTCCTCCAATATGAAATCTTCCCATACGCAGAAATCTTCCATAGAAATCACCGGTAGAGTTGGAATCCCGATAGAATTGTCTAATGTTTCTGCAGGATGGCATGTAGCAATATAAATTTGTGTCACCATTCCTTGTAATTTATCAATACGGTTTCGTAAATCACTTATTGCTGCCATTATAGACTTTTCGCTTAAACCGGCTTTTTTGTACAAAACAATTATATCGTTATATAAAAAAATATAAATAGCTTCTTGGTAACAATGCAATATTATTAATGCTATAATGTAAAGAACTGTTTTTATATTGAAAAAAAAAACTTACAATTAATTGTGACATGTGATTTGTTATGAGAGTTTACAGGAAACGTACGTTTGTCTGTGAAAACAGTACAATCATGATAAATATAACATATTTTTCAACAACGGTTACAATACGAGCTTCCCGCAAAATATTTTTTAATAATTGTTTCTATGTATATTACAGTAATTAAAAATAATCGTACCTTATGTTATTTTATAGAAACCTCGATCGTCACTGTTGTCATATTCTCTTACTATCCCAGTAAGCAAAATGCTAGCAGAATGCGCGCAGATTGACGCCAATTTCGATCAGATCTCCACATCAAAACCATAACCATCTGTGTCCTCATTAGGCTCGTGTTTTGTCGACAGGACCTGTATGACAGGCCGTGCGAGCAAATTGTCGGCAGAAACCGCACAGGTCCTGCTGCCAAACTACGCGTAGAGTCTGCGCGCTGAGTTTGCTCGGTTTCTGCCGCCAATCTGCCGTCAAATTACTGCAAGTCTTGCGCGGTTTTTGCTACAAATCTGCCATCAAATATCCGACAGCAAGATCTGGCGCATATTTGACCGCAGATTGGCGGTATAATTTGATATAACAGATACTGCGTTAAATTTGTTGCCTATTTGCCATCAAACTATGATAGCAGGCTTTGTTCGAAATCTGCTCGCGCAGGTTTGGCTATCTGGGCAAGATGAACTTAACCTAATTATTCCTCTTTATCAACTTACCGGCTTATCCGCATATATTTGCATACTCATAGATATAAACGAATACGATATGAAAATGATAGAAACAAATACTATTGCTAATAGTAACAATTGAAATGAAAAGCAAAATTCCGTAGCTCAGCAATACTTCCAACAGATTTTATACGTGATTTAAAAGAAAACTAAAGTACTTCTAACAGAAGATTCTCGATAGAATTCGATATATCGATTTTCCATCACTGCACTGCTGTCGATAACAATAACAAAATGTATCATACTGCGAAGAGATTGCAACAATAATACGGTGATACTTTTGTTTTTATTAATTATTTGCTTATTAGTCAATTTCTATTCTAAATAAAGCATGTAAACTGCATTGTCATTTCAGGCTGAGTTTGATATTCACTCTCAGTTTCAAAATATTATAAAATATTATAAATGATTGGCAGAAAATTTGAAGAAAAATCTAATCTCTTTTCGTATCCATTTTCATCAAGTCTTATAAACATAGATATAGTTAGCACTCTTGGACTTTTACACAGGTGGTGCTTAGATGATGTTAAAAGGAAAATTATATTATTACTCTTCCCTGAAAAGAATGCGGAAGATAATACAATTATATCAAAAAGCATCTGTTTTCCAATGCCCCATTCTGAAATATTGTTTTAGCATAGTATCGAATTGAATGTGTGTGTAAAGAAAACCATGTAACATATAAATCAAATATAATAAATATAAAATTATTTTAATATTATTTTATTCTATAATTATTATAATCTATATCACTATTTCTTTCTTCCATAGAATAATATTGTTTTTCACAATACAAAATTATCTTACCTGTAATATATATGGAGATCCAAATATTCGTACATTTTATTACCTCTCAAAAGTGACATTGCGATTAACAATATGCCTTGATTGATTAATCTTATACAGGGTATGCTGCCAGAAAGTTGGGAGAAAGTAGTAGCTAGCGATGGACAATACTTTCAATGACATGTTCTTTACTAATTTTTTTAAATGAAGCATTCATTTTCTCGAAAAAACAGTGAGAACTTATTCGAGTCCCCAATCAAATCCAAACTATATATATACAGCCTACTACGAAACTATTGACAACAAAAGTAAGCTCTTTCTTGATCTGCATTTATATACACAGTCTGTCCCAGATCTAATGAGACTGGTCTAAAAAAAATACAAAGCGTTTATTATTTTGATTTTTTATTCTTGTTTATTTAAAATAGTCTCCTTCTGAATCAATACAGCGCTGGAAACGTTCAACAAATTTTTCGAAACATTTTTTATACTCATCGGCTGGAATGGCCTTTAGTATGGCGGTCGAAGTCTTTTGGATGACCGGGATGGTATCGAAACGATTTCCTTTCATCGGCAATTTCAGTTTGGGAAATAGCCAGAAGTCGCACGGAGCCAAGTCAGGTGAATACTGTGGATGATCGATAACAATGATACCTTTTTTGATAAAGAATTCACGTACCATGATGGCTTTGTGCGATGGTGCATTATCTTGCAACAAAAACCAACTGCCTGGCTCTCGATATTCCAGTCGAACTCGTCGAATTCTGGCCCACAATCGTTGTAGAACTCCCAGATAATATCTGGGCAAACACACAGCGGTCGTTTCGAAGAATTTCTTTGACTTTCTCGATATTTTCTTTATTGCGAATGGTTTTTGGCGGCGGTGCTCAATCGTCTGCAAGGTCCTCACGACCGTCACGGAACCGGCCAAACCAACGGAAAACCTGTGCACGGGACATGCATTCATCCCCGTACACATTTTTTAGCGTTTCGTACGTTTCTGCACCACTTTTACCCAATTTAAAAGTTGGTTTTTCGACCGACGTACACAAAGTGACTTTACATAAAATGTCAAACCACAGTGAAATATCAACCGAATTCGCTCAAATTTTGAGGTTAAATAGATGAAGGGTAGAACATTCACCTACCATCATTCACTCATAGATATCGCTGCGCTAAGAACTTTGATGGAACCAGTCTCATCGTATCTGGGACAGGCTGTGTATTTCGTTATTCGAGGTTTGTTGTTAATATTTTATCAAATATAAAACCATTTTATATACGGTATTGTTAAAAAAGGTGATAAACGCTAAAAGGTGATAAAAGAAATTACACGAAAACTTCGATTAGTCGTTTTGCTATTAGTAGTAGTAAGAAGCATTCAGGAATATATTCACAGATCGAAGTCTGTTTCCTTCAGTCATGCCAATCTATTTCGCGCGTTAATTGGAATCTCACTGAACGGAAGTTAAATGAAATGTTTCCCGTGCTAGACCTTCCTTCAATACTCTATCGCGATGATTGATGTAAAACAGTTAATCGTAAACTTGGTTTTTCCGCAGCTTTTATCTATTTTTTTATTTGTTATTTATTGTTGTCAGCCTTGCGTTATCGGGCTATATTTTGCGATGTTTTACGATAACCTCTACTATTTTAGAATTTATTATTATACAACATATTTATTAACAGGATCCTCTAAGTAAGGAAATAATACAATTGTTCCTTGTTTATTTATCCTTTGTTTGAGATAATGCATCACAAAAATACAAATCATGTTAACAGTTTGAACAGAATTATTTGAAACTGTTGTCGTTTTAGAAAACTTTTATTATATGTGAGCACATTGTTAACCGTCAACAATTTTATACGATATTATAATTATATTTTTAATACAATTAATTCGACAAATTGTAACTGTGACAAAGGAGGAAGTCGGATTTATATGTCTTCGAATAAATCATACCCAATAAAAAAATCATTAAAATGATTTGTATTTCTTGAATGCAATAATGCGATTTAATTTTCTAAGTATTCGATAAGAATAGTACGATCTTTCCTAATTTTTACATTGTGGTTTTTATAACCGCACAGTGCTATACTTCCTCTTGTCTCTTTCTTCCGTATCACTTTCCAAGATTTCGTAATGACGGATAAGAGCAGAATTGTAATTGACGTTATATTACAATTCGTTTGGATGAAATTCAAATGGATGCAGATATTTTGATGACATATCTTGTTACAGCGCTATGGACGTCGGAATACCGGTGGATAGCCCGAATTTAGTATTGTTGTTTTATGTGGCGCAACTTTTCTTACGTGAACTGCATAAAAGCAAAAATCTTATACGAATCATACCTATGGACATGTCCGGATATTACGGTAAGTCATACATATTAAAGTTTCTTCTATTTTGTAACAATGTTGCAATAATCAGCACTGAAAAAATTCATAAGTAGAGAGAAGGAGCAAAACAAATCAGAGACACTCTGTATGATCATTTTTCTTTCTTTTCTTTTACTGATGTTTTCAGTAAATCATTATAGTTTGATGGGTAAGCGGGGAAGTTATAATGATCGTAAGCGATTTTAATTTTGATGATAAATGAATCAATGAGTATTCACGTCGACCAAATACAATTTCATTTATATTGTTTATCGCTTTCTGGTAAACTCTTCCATTGATAAGCAATTCTAATTAATTATAATGCTTGTAGAAATTCTGTGCAAAAAATTGCAAGAGCTATTTTGAAGGCGTCGTCGTGTCACAGTTATCGAGTTACGCCAAAGCACAACGTTAAATCAGTTTCTGCGACCGTTTTGAACCGGAACGAATAGACTGATTTATGGCGTACCTCAACTGACCATAATTCTGAAAACTATCTCGCGCAGTTGTAAACAGTTATATCAACAAATCCCACAATTTCTATTCTATATATCGCTTTCTATGATCAAGTTAATTTTTACCGTGCACATTTCTTCGAAATATAGGTATATCACTTTCACCAGCACATTTGTCAGATGCAAATAAATTACAACATTAGAGTAAATTAGAGAATCTATTCTGTAACTTTTAATGACAGTGTCAGTATCGTTACATTGTTATTGCACAGATATAATATATGATAGAAAAGATACGCAATGATAACGCAACAATAACGACAGTCGTTAAAAGTTACGAAATAGGTCTACAGGATACGATAGTACCTACATTTCTAAGCTTCGGAATAAAACATTTTCGCGTTTCAAGAAATAGAATTTGATTTGTCATTTCTTCGACATGCATTACTCTTACTGTAAATATTTTCCTCTCGGTTACAAATATTAACATTCACAATAATTTAATGTTTTCGCTGCAAATGACTTTGCGCTCCGAAGCTATTACTAGCTTGCAAATTATTCAATAATATGAAATTTATTCAAAAATCAAATAAATCAGCAAACCATTTACATGCACGCGATATTTATATATTTTCTTATACCATCTATATAGTAGCAAAGGAGTTACGCGCAACATCTTGGTTACCATGCTATAATTATAATTATTATTTTCTGATATTTCCTTTAAAATATTTGCCCTTTTGGAATCAGTCCTGGTGGAACTTGAAACAAGAAAGACGGCGAAATGCAGCAGTAAATATAATAAATCTAATGACGCATATTTATCTTATCACATTACAGAGAGCCGTACCGGTCCTTCGTATATCAGCAATGTGGTTTCGCAGATCCTCTTGTGCAAACAGATTAGACCAGACTTCAATGAAGAGGAACTTTGTAGCATTCGAAAGGACTCGGAAGAGATCAGCAAACTGATAGCAGAGCTACAAGAATTTATGCCGCAATCCGAGGCTGACACGGGTATAATTTCGCCGATACTTTCGTTCATATTACGCCCAAGATCTTTATCTATTCAATAAAGACTCTTCACTTTTATATATATATACTCTTCTTTGTATGTATATCACGATTTTTAAAAAGGATATTTGTTAATGTAGTGAAGAACAATTTACAATAATTACAATTATAAAAACATTCTTTTTCCTTCTATTACAATTATATTTATTCAGGGTTGGGAAAGTTACTTTATGAAAATAACTCGTTACTGTTGTTTTCTCTAAAATGTAACTTGTTATAGTTACTCATTACAAATTTCGAAAAGTAACTCGTTATAATTATTATTATTTAAAAAGTAATGAATCATTAGTTTTTCCGTTACTTTGGTAAATGCTAGAATAAAACTAATGAGTTTTATGAGGGAAGAGAAGAGAGGAAGAGGAAGAGAGAGCGAAACAAAGAGAAAAATTTATTTGGAATATAAAATTTGGATAAAATTAATTGAAATATAAATTGTTTCAAAAAATAAAAAATTGAATATTATCAGAATTGTTTATCAAGTTTTAAAAGAAGCTGGTGCTCTATAGTCATTATTTAAATGCTTGTGGTATTAAAATTGTTAAATAGGCATTCTTCCAACGCTAAATAAGTGTTCAACAGATGAACCACTTAAGAATGTTGTTTTATATTGTATAAAAACTTTTTTTTTATATAGAATAATCATTCGGATAGTCATTAAAATGTCTAAATTACAGTTGTTTTAAAAAATAACTTTTCTTCTTCTTTGAATACATTGCTTATTTGATGACAAAATGTAAAAAAGTCATCGTAAGTATTAGATTTTGTTTAAGTAATTAGGAATTTTTCACTTGATTTAGTTCCTAACAGATTTTCCTGGAAAAAATCATACATATATAAATTTTGTCCATATATGATCATGTATAATCATGCATCATCATATATAGGGTGTCCAGTAATTAGCTGCCAACTCAAAGTGTGAAGGTAGATTGGGTTAAGACAAACATAAAAGTTCCATACCGTTTTGCGAGATTCACGATAATTATCGAGTTATTAATTACAGAAATCTGACGAATGAGAGCGCGCTGAGACGGATGATTGGAGAAGCGTCGTAGCCTCGGGTTACAATGCGGCCCAGTCGACCCAGTAATTGTTGACGACGCGCGGCGAGACATAGGTCCGGCGAGATAAAACAACAAATAGCGGCGCGTTGTCCTTCCTCTGGCCACTCATCGGCAACAGTTTCTAAATTGACTGGTCCGCGCTGTGGTTTGAGCAGCTGCAACGCTTCATCAATTATCTACATATGTCATGTGTGTGAAGTTAGCATCGCCATTTCGTAATTTCGCAAAAAACGAAATTGTGCTGAGTTGTGCTAGGTTTGTGCCACGTTGTGCCGCAAAAACCAATCGCCCATCTCAAAAAGCAAAGCGACAATTAAAAAAAAACAATTTTTTGGCCAGCATCGCCATTTTGTTTTTTCGAAAAAACAAAAATTGTGCTGGCTGCAGCCGCGGCTACTGAAAGTTGTGCCGTAAATATAAAAACTCTATTTCTTTCCGTTCAAAAGAAAACAAATATCAAATATTTCGAATTTAAGATATAACGTTTATTCACATAGAACTTTTGAACCGTGACAGATAAACGAATTCTGAGACTTGTGCTTAGTTGAATAGGGCCTATTTTGATATTCACTGCCAGCACTGAAATTATAGTATACATGATATAAACTATATATTTTTAGTATTGACAGTGAATTTCGGAACGCAGCCGTAGCTACAGCTATACTATACGAAAGAAAGAGATTGCGCAGATCGCGCTTTCCTTTTCTACTGCCCGAACCTTGCCGAACGCCGGACGCACACGGACACGGCTCATACGTGCATACGTTCTCCCTCCATATGCGTGGGCTTGAGGGCAATGCAGCGAATCTGGCAGCTCTAGGCCTCACGCCGTTTCTCGCACACTTGGCACGAGACGCTGCCACGTCTCTTGATTCCCTACAATGGCTTTCGTCGGAAAGTTGGTTGAATTATTGCAATCGGAAGATTTTAAAGATGTCATAGGAGATGATGGTCGCATTGCACCTCCGAGTTGTAATCTATATAAACAACTGTCTACTATATTAGATAACTTAATAAAACCGAAATATATTTATACTATTTTAAAATCAAATCGTTACAATGTTTATAAAGACTTACTTTCAATACGTAATATTAAAATAGAAGAAAACGATTCAAATATTTCGGCTACAACAATTGACACATTAAATAATAGTCACACGATTTCTTTCTCGATGAATGTCACGGATATATGGTTGCAAATATCTGATGAAGTAGTAAAATACGAATTTAAAAATCGTGGTAAACGTAATATACGTGTATTACGACGCTATGCGTGGACAAGCATACTTTATAGGCGATTATATGATGAAACAAAATTACCGTGTGCACTTACTTTCAAGAATTCACAAATATCAGAAAGTGGGATATTTTTAACCGTTACTGGCAAATGCACTGAATGTAAATGTGAGTTTATTGGACAAATTATAAACGCTCCACAGGAAAAGGAAGATGTAATAATGGAATGTAAGGTTCATGCTTATGATTCAAGCATAAAACATAAGAAAAAGCGACAATTAAAAGGTCTTGATCGTAAAAAAGTCGCCTATAAGTTAGTAGAGGGTAAGACACTTCCTTGTATGTGGAGACGAGAACAAGCTGATACTTTAATGGATGTTGGAGATAACGAACCTGCACATTTATATACGAGTCATGTACTTCGGAAAGCTAAACAAGAACGGCATGACGAGTTATTAGGTACAACATGTGTTAATATGTTTGAGAATCTTTTGTTAATGAAATATAATTTACGTTTCGAAGGCGCGATTAGATTTATTGGGATGGATCCGTTAATTGTGCATTATTGGACACGAGAACAATTCGCTATATATGAGAAATATCACATGACATTATATAATGATGCTACTGGATCTTTAATAAAAAAAATTAAACTGCCAAATGGTGAATTGTGTTCACATATATATCTGTATCAAGCAGTTACACAAATTTCCGAAAATACAGCTCCCATTTTTCAAATGATTTCCGCATCACAAAATACAAACACGATAGTATTTTGGTTACAAGAATTTTTACGAACTGGTGCTATGCAAAAGTCGACATTTCCTTCTCCTAAAGAAGTAGTTACCGATTTTGACAAAGCTTTGCTCGGAGCTGTTGCAAGAGCATTTGCGAAATCTGCTACATTGTATGATTATTTATCTACATGTTTTGCTTTATTGACTGGTGCAAAATTATCTATACCATCGTGCCTTATACGATTAGATGTTTGCCATTATATGAATATGATTGCTAGATGGAAGTGTTTTTCTGGCAAACCATCTATAGTAAGATTATTTTTTTTACGTGCAATGGCAGTTCTAAGAAAACAAAATACATTCCACGAATTTGAAGAAATTGCACGTAATATTTTAATACTTGCGGTAAGTCCTTATCAAAGTCCTAATAGTTTAACTGAAAGAGCACGAAATAGTTTAACATCGCATATACGCAGCGATACAGATGCATTATCAATAATTGATGACAATCTACCAATATCTGCTGAAGATGAAAATAACCAAAATATTTTAAACGATGAAGATGCAGGCGAAATAAATATACACCATTGGGTTGATGCAATGTTTAACGATTGCGTTTCTCAAACAAGTGGGTTGGAAGAATCCTACGATATTAATGGATTTTACTGCATAGATTTTGCAAAGAAATTTAAAGTTTTATTAAAATACTTTCCATTGTTTACTGCAGTTATGTGTGCAATTTAATTATGGCTCTATAAATGCAACGTCTGCAGCGGTAGAATCAGAATTTAATGATTTAAAAAACCGTGTTTTGAGAGATGTGTCTCTCCCTATGAGAGCTGATAAATTTGTTAGTAAACATATTTCTAGTTTATCAGGGAAAATAAAATTAGCGATTGCAAGAAAATTAGAAGACGACTCTATCGTTGAAGCACATATTTCTGTTTGCGATGAAAGCTCTACAGATGACGATTTAACAGCATTATCAGAATTGCAAGCCCAGCAAAATTGGCGCAATAAAAACACTAAAAAACAGGCTGTTTATCGCTATACTGATACATGCCCCAATTTTGACACAAATAGCGATAAATATATTACATTGCCTGTAATACCGCATGCAAATTATTGCAAAAATATCAAAAGTGGAAAAATGACATTAATAATAACAAATACTTGTGGATTTGATAGTTTATGTCAAATATTATCCACAAGTTTGATAAATAATGAAGCATATAATATGGCATTATTGGAAACACAATCAAAATTAATATTATGCGCCAAAATATTAATAAAAGAGGGGTTGAGTACACATTTCTTTAAAGAACGTGCTACAATATTGTGCAATCTCGAGCAATTAAAGCCAGATATTACAAATGATTATATAATAAAAGTTAACGCTATTTCTAATATTGCTAATCTCGCAACTTGGTTGCTCGAAGATGTGCCAAGTTTTACGATAATAAATACCTGCGAAACATGCAACCGTGTAAAAATACGTCGAAAGTACCTTTGTGATGTCAATTATACTATGTTACATGAAAAAGGAATGCAATTTTTAATGGAAGCATTAAACGAAGGGCTTGACATTCCTGGAATATGTTGCAAAAAACCTCAGCAATCACACATTACTTATGGTCCACATTTAATTATAGAAACTGATTGTGGTAATGAAAAATTGACCATGTTATCTGAATTTCCCACAGATTTACAGATTATTTGCAACAACAAATACATTTTATCCGGTATAATTGCATATGAAGGTAGTAATAATATAGCATCTGTAGGTCATTACATTGCTTACATTAAAATAGGTTGCAGATGGCTTTATTATGATGACGCATCGCGTAAAGGTAAGTCAGTAGTTCTTAATGAGCAAACATTAATTAAAGGTCATATATGTATTTATATT